ATGGTGAGAAAGTGTCCTCAACGTCCCATTCGAACCCCACCAGGTTATTCCAGTGTCGAAACTCAAAGCACGGCTTCATCTAATGTCGAAACTCAAAGCATGGCTTCACCACCGTGACTGCTGCTTAGGCAAGTGTCTTCAAGGAGGTTATGATCTGCCTTACCCACCAGCAGCCCTCGTGGAGGGGGCTGTGTGTGCGTGCCTTGGTTTCTGGGTGGCTGCAAGCTTTCCGTGGGGTCTCCAAATGGCACTTGTTGGAGGCTCCAAAAATATTAAAGATTTTTCTTTTTTTTTTTTTTTGGCAGGAAAACCACAGCAGTAAAGCCTTGAGGAGCATCGGTGGCTGGAGGTGGGGGGTGGCTCTTTTATCCCCGAAGCTGATGCAGAGGGGTTTCTGCTGGTGCTTGCTCTGGGGACCAAAGGAATAGGTGGGAAGGTGAATGCAGGCTGAAGAAAAAAACCAACTCATCACATCATGTTTGACCATGTAGAGTCCAAGGTTGTCTGGGTAGGTCCCCGTCGGTCAAAGCTCAGGGTCCTGAGTGCATCAGACAAGTATCTGACCTGGGTTTTGTGATTTGTGCCTCTGGCTGGGGAGAGGTTAACAAGAACCCAGTTCTGCAGAGGTACCCACTTGCTTTTGGTTTTAATACATTAAAAAAAAAAATATATATATATTTGCAAACCTCTCTGGTCACACTAAAACAGACTCGGCGGTGTGGCGTGGGAAGTCTGTGATGTGGCATCCAGCTTGTAGAGGTGCCCAACGCTCATCAAAGGCGGGAGGCGCGATAATGACTGGAACCCTCTTCTGACACCTGCCTCTTTTTTTTTCGGAGGCAGCACCCCGGCCATAATAATTTGAGGAGAGTTGATTTTCATCGCGCTGGAAGAGGGTTGTCCAGGAACGGGGGAAACCAGCGTTGCAGCGCTGCTGCCTACGGTAACGAGCAGCTAGTCATCCAGAGCAGGAAAACATGAATATCCTGACAGGAGAGCATCCACTCGTGCCCTGGAGAGTTCAGATTGTGGGGCTTTGCATGGTAATGATGTGGTCCCGCTCCAGCAGGCGAAGGGAGGAGCAGTACGGGAAGGCACACCCTGTAATTGAAAAGCCACTAAGCCATCTTGGACCTGCGGGGATAGGAGGATGGAGGCCGTGGTTTGCTCCGTCTCCCCAGGTCTAAGGCAAGAACGGAGGATCTCTTTAGTCTCCCGGAGCGGGAAACACAGAGAAACCTCGTCCCCGCGCTGCCGTATCGTTCCCAGGACGTTACGCTTTTCATCCTGGGGATTATTCTCAAGGGCGGGATGAAGGTGGGAAAAGACGAGAATGGGAGAGAGAGGATCAATGAAGGACCCACAAGGAAATATTTTAAACTCCTGTTTTGTTTTGTTTTTTTTTTTTTTCAGGCAGAGACAGCCCGATTCCAGGCTGCAGGAATGGCTACGTGGAAGGACACGCCTGTTGGTAGCATCTATAGGTACTGCTCCCTTTCACTGGAAATGCCTTGTTTCTCTTGGAGAAGAGCATCATGCAAAACTTTTCCGGCTGATAGGCATTTAGCTGAGTGATACCACATTAAAACAACCATCTGGCAGCCATAAGGGCACCACTGGCTTCAGCATCTCAAGTGATGAAGATCTCAAGCGATCAGCCTCCAATGCAGAAACGGCAGAGCAGTTGAGATTCACGTTTTCCAAAGGGTCTAATTTGTTCTGGGGTTGGTGACCGGGGTGTTCGGAGGCTTAGTTTTGCTTATCTAAGGCTGGGTGCTGCTAAATGGATACTCTTTGACCCAACCTAGACAGTTTGCTCAAGTTTACCCAATCCCAGAATACCGCAGGCCAGGAGGAACCTGTGGAGATGAACCTGCTGGGTCTCGAGCAGCATGGCCCTCCAGGCTACCTCCACCCCACCTCCAGCCTTTCCCGGAAGACAGAAGTGAATGTGAACATCAAATCCTGACCCCACCAAAAATTGTGGATGGGATGCGCGCTTCTCATTTGATTCTCTCCTGTTGTTTGAAGAGCCGTACCCAACCGAGCCGTGCGCAGGGCGAGAAAAAACGCAGCTTATCTTCGCTTCCTCCAGCATCTGCCTATGCCATCCTCACCTTCGTCCCCAGTGATGGGATGCTCTGGCCACCGCCGGTCCCAAACCAACTTGGCATTTGTCCTACCTGCGAGCTGAGACCACCATGGTGCTCATCCATCACCACCCACGCACCAAAGGGCTGCAGTGGGGACACGGGTGCCCTCCGCTAGTCCCAAGCCACCGGCACCGCTGTTGTGGGGACGCCGGCAGCCCCTGCAGTAGCACCTTCTTGCCTCTGAGCCGCCTCTTGCACGCTGTAGGGCTGAGGCTTTCCTTCTAGAAGACAAATCTCGTTCAACTGCTTGAGCGTTGTTTGGCTGTGTGACAGCCAGCTGCTCTGGCAGGTGACCGGGAACATTTTTGTTGCACGATCTTTAGAGTTTCAGGGAGGAGAAGCTTCCTCATAGCTGAGAGCAGCAGCAAGCAAGGCAGAGGCGCGTTACGATGCACCGAGAAAAAAAAATTGGGTCCGTGTTGGGTACGTCCCCACCGGGGCTCCCACGGCCAGTTGCACCGGGGGTAGATAGGTCACTTCTGGCTTCAGCCTTTCGCCAACGACCCGGCGAAGGGGGACAAAGGGGAAAAAAAAAAATCCTCCGGCTCGCAGCTGCGGAGCTCTTCCTGCAGAATTGACTGTGCAAGAAGGGCTGGGTTTTGGGTGTGCTCCCCTTGCGTGGCACCGAGCCCGGTATTGTGAGGGCTCCCTCTGAAGCAACGTGCGGGAAGCGGCGGTGGAGGGACGCCAGCCCCAGGGCGGGGGGAGCAGAAGGGTGAAAAGGGGGACCTCGGGGATGGGCTGCCCATCAAATGCTGGTGGTGGCGTCTGGGCGTAGAGCTGCTGCTGACGGTGGGGTTGGGTCAGATTTGGGACGGGTTGACCGGAAGACAGAGGTCAGTCCAGCTAGAGAGGGGCTGCTCTCATCTGCTGGGTGTCGGTGGGTACCCAGTCGCTGCAAGGTTTCCGTATTTCCACACGTCATTAAAAGTCAGGGCAGAACGGTGTTGGAAATGTATTCCCAGAAGTGTCGCGTGGGTGGATGGCTTTCCTAGCCCAAAAAACCTTGGTGTGCACCACCGTCTCGTTTCCCTCTGCAACCCAAGTGCTCCTCAGAGCTGCTGCCTCCCTCCTCTGGGTCCCGCAAGAACCAGGGCAGCTCAGCGAGGGCTGGAGGTGCCCCATTTTCCCTGTGCACAAGAAGCTCTGCGACGTGTGGGGAAGTCAGGGTACCTCCACCCGGGGTGGCGGAGGTCACGCTTTGACCCACCAGCTTTTAGCTACGGTGACCGCTTGGCGGCAGGAACCTTTCGGAACCAAAGGATGCTCCGACTGCTCCCTTGTGTACGTCCTTAAGGATGTGACGGCAAAGTTTTGTTCTTTGTGTCGCTCCCATTTGTGCTCGTGGGTTTTATTGTGATAGTCCAGAGCTTTCAAACGAACTTCTCAGTTCATTAATCCAACTGCTTAACGTGGGGGCAAGGAGCATCTCACCCAGCTGCAAACCCAGGAATCCCATCAGTGCCTCCAGACTGCCACTGCTGCTACATTTTATTCTCCTCTGGCCACCGAAGCCATCCAAAGGCCACCTTTGGTTGTCCCTTTGAGCACGGGGATTTCCTGCCAGGGCAACCCCGTCACCTGCTCCCCAGCTTTTCCCCATCCTCCACCCAGGGAAAATGCGGCGGGAGGCTGCAGAGGTGGGGCTGGTGCGTGTTGTTCTCCAGCGCTTCGGGACTGGTAGAACAGCTCTTAGAGCACGATTTTACTTGGCACGGGCTGGTTTTGTAAGGAAAGAAATAAATAAGTGCCATCCTGCTCCGCTGGGAGGTCGAAGCATTTCCTTTCTCTTTCCTTTTTTTTTTTTTAAAATGATCTGTTTGTACTGAGGCCAAACATTGACTGCTTCAGCCTCAAAAAATAAAAAGTTTCAACAATAGCTGTAATTGGGAGGAAGCTAAAGTACAGCCACTCTTGTGCCTTTATTCATGCTGCCATGAGACACCTTCTATTCTATTCTTTTCTATTCTATTCTATTCTATTCTATTCTGTTCTGTTCTATTCTTTTTTTTTATTCTATTTTATTCTATTCTATTATTTTATTTTCCCTTTTTTCTCTTCTTTTTCTTTTTCTTTCTTTTTCTTTTTCTTTTTCTTTTTCTTTTTATTTTTCTTTTTCTTTTTCTTTTTCTTTTTCTTTTTCTTTTTCTTTTTCTTTTTCTTTTTCTTTTTCTTTTTCTTTTTCTTTTTCTTTTTCTTTTTCTTTTTCTTTTTCTTTTTCTTTTTCTTTTTCTTTTTCTTTTTCTTTTTCTTTTTCTTTTTCTTTTTCTTTTTCTTTTTCTTTTTCTTTTTCTTTTTCTTTTTCTTTTTCTTTTTCTTTTTCTTTTTCTTTTTCTTTTTCTTTTTCTTTTTCTTTTTCTTTCCTCTCCTCTTCCTTTGTTTTGTTTTATTTTAGTTTATTTTATTTTAGTTTAGTTTAGTTTAGTTTAGTTTTTCCTTTAAAGTAGAACTGCATTGGTGCTGCACGCTGCTGACTCATCAGTGCTGCAGACAGGATCTATGTGCTCTACACACAGCCCCACCGACACCCAACCACCTGGGGCACCAAATTGGGCTGGGAGGGAAAGTCCCCACAGGAGATGGCAGGGACCCGAAAGATCTGGGGGACACATTAGTATCCCCCTACCCAGGTGGAGGTCTTCTCCTCCTCTCCTGCTCCGCTGAGCTTCTCGCGGGGGTAGAAGCCCGCGAGCGCCTGAGACGGCGTGGGAGAGGGAGGAGGACATAGGATTGGAGGCTGGCGGTGGGGGGAAGGGATGGTCCACCTTTTTTGGCAGCACCTTGCAGTTAAATCAGCTCAAAGCAATCATGAAACCGTAGGGTAGTATTTCACTCCTCCTCACTGTGGTCTCGCTCTTGAAAGCGCCAATATGAGCGCCAGCCAGTTCGTGTGAGACGAACGTGGATGGAGGACAATAAGTTCTTTCTTAGGTCCCATCCAATGGGCATCGGATAATAATAATAACTTTTTTTTTTTTTATTTTACTTTTTATGCTTAATTCAAAGCTGCCACTGAAGCCCCGCTCTAGCAGCGTGGTATAGGAGCATTTCTACCAATTTCAGCGAGAGCCCTGCAGGCAGACAGCTTGCAGGGACAGGCTCGGGGAGTTTCAGGAAGCTGCAAAATAGAGTAAATAATAATAAGCAGAAATAAAAAAATAAATCAGAAATGCGTTACCTGCTCTGAAGGAACTGCTCTCAAATTTCCTTCGGAAAAAAAAAAAAGAGAGAAGAGTACCACGTTATTTACATTCTGTTGAACTCACTGAAAAACCCAAACAAACAAGGGTACGGTATTAGGTAACTCTTTCATTTTTTGATAGGACACAGCTATATTATATCCTGTTATTCAACGGCTGAATTAAAATATTTAATATATTGCTTATACAAGTCTATACACGTAGAATATGTGTATTCCCTCAAACGCTACACCAAGTGAAAGCGACCGTGATTTTTGTGGATAGGGCAGTGTGGAGACGCGAGCCCAGCCATAAATCGGGGTTCCCGCATCTTCCCGTCTCGGTGCGGAGCCGCTGGCGGGAGCGGGATGCACGGGCTGCGAGGGAGCCCGTCTTGTGTCTCGGGAGGGTTTTGCTGTCAGGTTGCTGCTGGAGGTGCTCGAGGATGAGGCTTCGTGTTACGGCTTGAGCCGAATTAACAGCTGCCAAAAGCAAAAAGAAGTCCTGCTGCAGGCGATGCGCTTCTGCCCCTCACTTGGTGCCGTCTGGGGTGTCCTCTGATCCCCGAGAAACACCCTTGGCTTCAGGGGGGGATGGACAAAAGCCCACAGGAAAGAAAACAAATCTTTATTTTTTTTTTATTTATTTTTTTTCCGCTTGGGTTAATATGTGTGATCCCATAAACGCGGGTGGAAGGCGGCAGTGAGGGGGAGGCAGGACCTTCCCGTGTCGATGGTGGCAAGCTGCTGGTTTGGCATCGCTGTAACGTGGAAGCTCACCCAAAGCCACCTCGCTTGAAACTCTTCGGTTTCGGTTGTGGCCACAGGAACTGCAGTTACACCTGGACTTTCCGCGCCTGCAGACTGGCTCGGTTCCTACAGCCCTGCCAGTATAGTGATGAGACACCCGGACAAGGCAGAAGATAAAAATCCTCGTCTCACCCCTTGTGCAAATACTCTTACCTATCCCTGCCTGGCTGACTTTACGGGACAACTCTGTAACCATGACTTTCTCACGCCGCACTACTCTATTATAGCGTTCCACTCCTTTGAACGTGCTCTGATGGAGATACCGAATGCTGCCGAGGCTGGACGGTTGAGCCCATTTGCTCCAGAACCCCTTGCAGAAGCAGCAGTGTAAAAAGCTGCTTCACGGGCCAACGGGACTGGTGGGGCTCTGCTGCCGGAGGACCCGGCCATCGCGTGCCTCCAACAACAACCGAAACTAATCAACGCTTCGCCCGTCTTTGTTAAATAGCACTGCAAGATAAGGCGATTCATATGATCGGGCGACTTATTCTACGTCGCAAGAGCAGGTAGCTGAGTCCTCCTGCCAAGTATACGCAAAACAAGCGCGTGTTGCAATGCCACCGCCTTATTTCTCTTTCTAGATCCAAGCTCTTTCTCAAGATACCATTCACCATTATTTCTAGCTTCAGCCCCTTGCGCATATTTAAAAGCAACTCCTTCGCTTACCTTGCCGGCTGCTGGACAAGGGTTTCTCCACGGGGGTCGTGGTGGTGCCACCATCCGCTCCAGGCTCGCGCTCGGTGTCCTCTGCCCGCCTGCGCCTGGTGGGTCTTTGAAAACAAAAGAGATGTGAGAGAGATGGGAGGGGAGGGAGCAAGGACTGAAGAGTTGGGGAGATATTGCAGAGGAGGGCAGAGCTGTTTCGTTTGTTTTCTGTCTTTTCAAGCGCCTGCGTAATTCCCTGCCCACAAACTGTAGCTCTTTTTTATCAGTTTGTTGACTGAGCGTCACCGGGATCACGCACTTGGCCGTGCAGTCGCCCCAGCACCGTCCCCGTCATTAAGACGTGGTGTAAAGCTGGTAGTTTTTGGAGCAGGGAAGGTTTTGTCAGGCAGGACAGATCGGGGGATGTGCGACACAAGCAGCGGGCGCCAGGCATCGCGGCAGCCCTGCGGGGAGGCGGTGGGGCGGATGGTGGGAGAGGAGGATGGCAGACCCAAAAGGCAGCGCTGATTTTCTGGGATTTTTATTTTTTTATTTTTTTCTTTTTGGCTGTTAAACCCTGTCCCCACACCACTTCCATCACCGAAATCCAAGCTGTGAAGGAGCTGCAGGGAGGAAAATGCCAGTGATGCATTACGGAAAATGCAGATGGATTTATTTTTTTTTTATTTTTTTAAGGTTTTGCTCATCTTGGTTTCTTCACTCATCATTAATCTCTGCTTCCGTAGGCGTGTGGAAAGGCAATCAATTCCCAAGGTAGTGGAACTGGAAATTTGGAATTTATCTTGTGCTATCTCACCGCTCGTCCTGCCATCCACAAACTGCCGAGTGCCCAGCGAAGTCCCAGGGAGTGTTGTCTTCGGCAAGCAGGAGTTGAAAAGAGAAAAAACAAACCCTAAACATCTCAAGCCAGGCCAACTCGAACCCCTCTAGGGGAGATTCTCCTCACTTGGGTGGCTTTTCCTCCTCCGTAGACGTTGTCACATTTGACTCGAGCAGTGTTTTCCTCGAGGGTGGCTTTCAGCTATGAAAGTGTCGTCATGAGAATGAAAACGCGAAGGCTTTTTTAATGCGGCACCCGACTTGTTAACTGCCATAATGTGATACCTGGCTGGGCTTTGAGAATACAAATAATACACTCCGGGCATAAAAAAAGACCTTTATTACCGGTGAGAACATAAATAATTAAGGAGAATGCTCAGATTTTCCCTGCGCCTTCGTCTTCACGCTACCCATCGCTCTGCAAGCAGCTGGGCGTCCGTAAAGCGACTCCAAGCGACCCTCCTCATCAGCTTTCCCGAGACATTTTTAAGCTGCCGTAATGCAACCCTCCCATCACGCTAAGCTTTATTGGTTTAGCAAAAGAAACTAAGAAACTTCATTGGAGACCAGATTATGCTGGTTGCAAAAACGGAGGGATTCTTCTGCTCTTCGACCCCATTATCTCCTCCGTAGTGTCTTGATCAGCTTTCTTACACACAGCCTCGGATTCTGCCGAGACCTGCAGATTGCTTTTTTTTTTTTTTTTGTGTGCGCAAGCAATGCCACCGCCTTATTTCTCTTTCTAGATCCAAGCTCTTTCTCAAGATACCATTCACCATTATTTCTAGCTTCAGCCCCTTGCGCATATTTAAAAGCAACTCCTTCGCTTACCTTGCCGGCTGCTGGACAAGGGTTTCTCCACGGGGGTCGTGGTGGTGCCACCATCCGCTCCAGGCTCGCGCTCGGTGTCCTCTGCCCGCCTGCGCCTGGTGGGTCTTTGAAAACAAAAGAGATGTGAGAGAGATGGGAGGGGAGGGAGCAAGGACTGAAGAGTTGGGGAGATATTGCAGAGGAGGGCAGAGCTGTTTCGTTTGTTTTCTATCTTTTCAAGCGCCTGCGTAATTCCCTGCCCACAAACTGTAGCTCTTTTTTATCAGTTTGTTGACTGAGCGTCACCGGGATCACGCACTTGGCCGTGCAGTCGCCCCAGCACCGTCCCCGTCATTAAGACGTGGTGTAAAGCTGGTAGTTTTTGGAGCAGGGAAGGTTTTGTCAGGCAGGACAGATCGGGGGATGTGCGACACAAGCAGCGGGCGCCAGGCATCGCGGCAGCCCTGCGGGGAGGCGGTGGGGCGGATGGTGGGAGAGGAGGATGGCAGACCCAAAAGGCAGCGCTGATTTTCTGGGATTTTTATTTTTTTATTTTTTTCTTTTTGGCTGTTAAACCCTGTCCCCACACCACTTCCATCACCGAAATCCAAGCTGTGAAGGAGCTGCAGGGAGGAAAATGCCAGTGATGCATTACGGAAAATGCAGATGGATTTATTTTTTTTTTATTTTTTTAAGGTTTTGCTCATCTTGGTTTCTTCACTCATCATTAATCTCTGCTTCCGTAGGCGTGTGGAAAGGCAATCAATTCCCAAGGTAGTGGAACTGGAAATTTGGAATTTATCTTGTGCTATCTCACCGCTCGTCCTGCCATCCACAAACTGCCGAGTGCCCAGCGAAGTCCCAGGGAGCTCATCTCGGTTTCTTCACTCATCATTAATCTCTGCTTCCGTAGGCGTGTGGAAAGGCAATCAATTCCCAAGGTAGTGGAACTGGAAATTTGGAATTTATCTTGTGCTATCTCACCGCTCGTCCTGCCATCCACAAACTGCCGAGTGCCCAGCGAAGTCCCAGGGAGTGTTGTCTTCGGCAAGCAGGAGTTGAAAAGAGAAAAAACAAACCCTAAACATCTCAAGCCAGGCCAACTCGAACCCCTCTAGGGGAGATTCTCCTCACTTGGGTGGCTTTTCCTCCTCCGTAGACGTTGTCACATTTGACTCGAGCAGTGTTTTCCTCGAGGGTGGCTTTCAGCTATGAAAGTGTCGTCATGAGAATGAAAACGCGAAGGCTTTTTTAATGCGGCACCCGACTTGTTAACTGCCATAATGTGATACCTGGCTGGGCTTTGAGAATACAAATAATACACTCCGGGCATAAAAAAAGACCTTTATTACCGGTGAGAACATAAATAATTAAGGAGAATGCTCAGATTTTCCCTGCGCCTTCGTCTTCGCACTACCCGTCGCTCTGCAAGCAGCTGGGCGTCCGTAAAGCGACTCCAAGCGACCCTCCTCATCAGCTTTCCCGAGACATTTTTAAGCTGCCGTAATGCAACCCTCCCATCACGCTAAGCTTTATTGGTTTAGCAAAAGAAACTAAGAAACTTCATTGGAGACCAGATTATGCTGGTTGCAAAAACGGAGGGATTCTTCTGCTCTTCGACCCCATTATCTCCTCCGTAGTGTCTTGATCAGCTTTCTTACACACAGCCTCGGATTCTGCCGAGACCTGCAGATTGCTTTTTTTTTTTTTTTTTTGGCTGCCAAATTGCCATAACCCTTCTATTTTTATGTTTTTAAAAGAGCTTAAACCCTTCCATCCTCTTTGGACGTGTCTTTAAAATTGACCAGGACTGGGAGGATTTCATGTATATCCGAAGGCTTAGAAGAAGATGTTACTTCTACTGAGCTTCTAGTTTTACAGTCAACAGACACGAAAAGCCCGGCGGGGATAAAAGGAACTTAACCAGTTCTGTCTAATGCATATAAATCTACCTAAGAGCTCAAGGCACTGGAAGTACTCAATGTGCTACATTTATCTGAGTCTAAGATACAGAAATGGGTCTTCAGCCCACATGCCACATGTCCCATTTCGATGCCAAGTTAATATGAATTAAGAGACTGAGATGAATAAACAAGGTCAGTCTGGGCCGGGCCAAGTTGAATCAATGTAAAATAATTGTCAGTATTTTCTGTCAGCAACGCTGGTTTATCTTGGCTCGGGATTCTCGGCGCTATAGATTATAAAATGTTTTCAGTGGAACAGTTGGCAGACATTTTATTGATTTTTCTTTGTTTTGTGAATGCTGGAAAAATTTCCATTAAGCATACACACCGCTCATGTGACGAAGCCAAATTGCTTTTTCAAACTTTTCTTCCTTCAAGTGTGCTAACGCGCTAATACATTAGCAGTCTAATTTAATCAAGAGGACCTTTGTCTGGAATCAAGAGGCCACGGAGCGCACCTGGATGGATCTCGAGCACGAAGAGTTAATTTTGTATTTTCAAGGTATTTTCATTAATCACTGACCGATTCATTTGCCCAACACCCCTTTGAAGTCGGTAAACTATTATCCCAGTTTTACAGATGGGGAAACTGAGAGTGCGACTTCGCGCAGAGCCACACGTCTTTGCCCGCTGTCGCCGTTCTCGATGCACGTGAAGCTCCTGTTGCCTTCACCGGGGCCGAGCAACGGTGAAGAATGAGAGGGGAGGGCTGCAGCGACCGGGCGGGATTAGCCCCACAGAGCTGCTGGATCCCACCTCCACCATGAATTTCCTACACCGCGTCACCACAACACACCTCTTAATGGGGTTACTTTGGAACCGAAAATTGCTAGGGCAGACAGAGCAGCTTGTAGGATTACTCCTGGACCCGGGGCAGACCATATTTCTCAGCCTATATTCCTGCTATTTTAAGACGAGGTTCGCTTCCTGGCTAAAGAGGACTTTGGAAAAAAGATAACCGATGGTGGAAGAACAAACAGAAGTGCCACAATGGTGGTGAATGCTGGTTTTGTTTAATTGCATGAAACAACGGAGTAAGAGTAAAGAAATCTGTTTAATGTTTGGGTTTTTTTTACGTGATGCACAAAAGGGGATGCAGTGGCATAACTCTAATTCTCTCCCTCTTTATGCTGATTTAATAACCAACATGTACAGAGATGAACACTGTTGTGCAGTTGTCTCTTAATGCTTCCTGAGGTTTGATCAGTGATGCCACAGATTCAAAATACACAAACATGCTTCTGAGCTTAAATAAAAACCTCATAGAGCTGTAGAAATATGTGTATTTTTAAGTACACAAGCAACAAGAAAGTTTTATGATAAAAATCACTGTCATGATACATACTTTTGACTTCTATCCTAATCGCTTGCACTAAAATAAAAGACATCCTAATTAAAATAGGAGTAGTTCTGGTTGAGGGGATGGGAACAAGGAAGATGGATAATAAGCTAAAAAAAAATACAACCCAACCCAGCTTCACACACATCCTGACACTACCAACAAGTGCAAGATATTTAAACCCACAATGCATTATGGTGAGGAAGCAGAACGACACACCGGCGGGGTGGGAGCCCACACCGCCGTCACCGATGCCAATGGCAGAAGAGTGACTGCAGCCATAGCTCTGCGCTGACTCTTACGTGCCGGATTCTGGCACGGTCACAGGCACTCACCAGTTGACTCATCCAGAAACAAGCTGTCCCACAGGGAGTCGACCAGTTCCTTGAACGCGTTGCCGAGAGGATGAGTGTGCTACCTTGGTCCTCCGAAAAACAGCGTCCATACCTTCTGACAATGTTTTCCTCATTTACCGGCAGCAAAAGGGTTATGCTGATCAAAACGTTTCCATAAATAGGTAACAAGAATACTGAGAGGACAAGAACTGCTAGGCTATAACATATGGGACGCTTGGGAAGAGAGAATGGCCACGGTCAACGGCAAATGTAAGACAGAGATGAGAGCTTTGTCTTGTAAAATTATTCGCTGAACTGTGCATTGTTGGCGGTATTTAACTGTCCCGCTCATGTCAGAGTGAAAGAAATCACGCAGCAAATAAAATACCTCTATCTGGAGTGCCGTCCGGAAATCTTTATTGCCTATAACTTACTCCGCGTATGTGTGCGCAGTTCAGAAAGTTGACTACCGTTCTGCACCCACAGCCACACTACTGCTACTTTCATAAAATGTCATGGAGTTAAGCCAATTTTCTCTGCCTGTAAAACACACTTTAGTCCCAGACTAAGTTCTCTGTTCCCTGACTGTTAAGAGGAGAGGCCAGGCTCTGCCTAGAATAAGTTCTCAGAGAGATAAACCCTTGACGCTCTTTTATGAATGATCATTTTGGTTACAGCCTTTTCCGTCCCCATCTCCATCCCAGGCTACGGGTTTCCTTGTTAGACAGGGCAGCAAAGGAGATGATGACGGGAAGAGTTAATTGCAGTGATTTGTTAATCGGGCAGCCTGAAAACTGGGCCTCTGTTACGCATATGCAGACATTAGGCTCCCCAAAGGGTGTCAGTAACAAGGTTTATTAAGTAAGTTACACAGAAATGTCTTCTGTTGGCCTTCACAGATTGCCCAGGGCTTCTCCCTAGGTGTAATTCATGACATACGCCTCAGCTGTCCCAAGACAAAGGTTTTGTTCGAAGCTGGGTTTTTTTTGAAGCTGAAATACAGGAAAGAGAAATCTGGGTATATGCTAGAGATGAGCTTCTAGAAACTTGGGTGAGATATAGATTTGGGACAGTGTCTGGGTCTGACAGGGGTGGTAGCGTTAGAAATGCAATTCATGGGTTTGGTGTGACCAGCTGGCACAAAGGTGTAAAGCCAAGACAGACGAACATAAGTCTCTGGGAAAGACGGAAGAGCTGCCATCAAGTACCTCAAGTACCTCCCAATCTTGCTGAAGTCCCATCATGGTGTCTTGTGGAGATCAGGGGAACCACTGCTACCCTGGAGACAGCAGAGCCTGGGAGTACTCTCATCTACACTTGAATTCATGCAGGCCAAGTGCACGTGACCGGTGCTACTGGCTTTGTATAGATAAGGTTGTGGGGTTTTTATTGCAAGACTAACGACACTGAAAACGGAGGCTTGACTTGCAACGAACAGATTGATTGTAGGTTGGAAGGGAGCTCTGGAGGTCATCCAGCCCAATCCTCTTCTCAAAGCAGGTTCAACTGTTAAGTTAGATCCAACTTCAATGTCGCTTTGGCTCAGGTCTGTGACCCAGAGGGGACTTGTGATGGATAACAGCAGAAACGAGCTATCAGCACTGGCAAGCATCAAGAAAGAGCAGCAGTATGTTCCCTCGCGTTAAACTTGGGGCAACGCTCAGGAGTCCGGACCTGAGCTGACTCTTGTCACTTCACCAGAAAGGCGATGCTGTAGGAAGTCACAGTACGCCAGCGTGCAGGGGAACGAAGCAAAGAAAAGCTCTAGACTAACCTTGCTCCCCAGACTACAAATCAAGTCGTCAGAGACAACATCTCATGGATTTAAATGATGCTGAGGAGGTAAATCAACAAGTTGCCTACAGTAATATATATATAAAGCGCAGCTGAAGTGACTTGGCCAAGACAGGAGGCTGTATTGGCATGGGATGAGGGAACAGGGAAGAACAGCGGTAAATCTACTATAGAAATGGAATTTTTCTTCCTCCGTTTTTCTTGAGGGGAAAGACTTAAGAAGGAAATAGGAAATGATTCAGGATGTACATTTATCTCACCGATGAGCAGAATACATAAACACTGAAGACTAGCGTTAAACAGCATGAGAAATGGAGAAAGTCAATAAACGAAACAAAAAATGACCAAGCTAATGAACAACGAAAGGCCTTTACAGGAGGGAGAATGAGTCCTGATTATTGATTTTGAAACCGCAGGTAGTGGTTGGAGGCTGGGAAGAAGTGGACAGTGGAAATGTCAGATATGAATTTGTGATGTGGGAAATCGGTTAGAATAATAATAATCTTGCTGTGCACTTACTAAGATGTTCAGCTGCAAGCACCATACAGCTGCGATTTCATAAACTTCGCTGCATTTCAGTAAGGCGTCGGCGTCACCATTTTTTGAGCGGATTCACTGAAGCAGCAGAAAGCAAATATGATTTAATTTTGGGTTCGCACGTGGGATCGATTTAGAGAAATTTCACCAAGTGCTGCGTAACCACCTGCCCATTATAAACTATATGTCCTCTGCCGATGTCTCAGATCAGGCAGCCAAATCTCTAGTATAGAACGGAACGGAACGGAACGGAACGGAATGGAATAGAATAGAATAGAATAGAATAGAACACAACACAACACAACAGAATAGAGCAGAACAGAATAGACCAGACTTTCAGTTGGAAGGGACCTACAATGATCACCTAGTCCAACTGCCTGACCAATTCAAGGCTGACCAAAAGTTAAAGCACGTTATTAAGGGGATCGTCCAAATGCCTCTTACACACTGACAGGCTTGGGGCCTCAACCACCTCTCTAGGAAGCCTGTTCCAGTGTTTGACCACCCTCTCAGTAAAGAAATGCTTCCTAATGTCTGGCCTAAACCTCCCCTGGCGCAGCTTTGAACCATCCCCACATGTCCTGTCCCTGGATCCCAGGGAGAAGAGCTCAGCACCTCCTCCATATCTCCTCCTCAGGAACCTGCAAAGAGCCATGAGTTCACCTCTCAGCCTCCTTTTCTCCAAACTAGACAACCCCAGAGCCCTCAGCCACTCCTCACAAGACGTTCCTTCCAGCCCTTCACCAGAATTGTTCCCCTCCTCTGGACACATTGAAGGACCTTCAAACCATTCTTAAATGATGGAGCCCAGAACTGCTCAAAGTGAGGTTACACCAAGGCTGAATAGAGAGGGACAATCACCTCTTTTGACTGGCTGGTTATGCTGTGTTCGATGTACCCCAGGATGCAGGTTGCCCTTGTGGCTATCAGGACATGCTGCTGGCTCATATGCTCTGTCAACCAGCACCCCCAGACCCCTTTCTGCAGGGTTGCTCTCCAGCCACTCCTCTCCCAGTTTATACTGCGTTATTCCGTCCTAGGTGCAGGATCTGGCGTTTCATGCCATTAGTTATAGCCCAGTGCTCCAGTCTTGGCCAGGGAGAAGAAACATTGCAATGACTGCAAACTAAGAACGTCCTTATTTACGTAGGTTCCTAACATCCGAACCCTTCCTTCCTTTACACAAATTTCCTCACATAGAATCACAGAATGGTTTAGGTTGGAAGGGACGTTGAAGATCATCGAGTTCCAACCCCCCTGCCATAGGCAGGGACACCTCCCACTAGACCAGGTTGCCCAAGGCCACGTCCAGCCTGGCCTTGAACACCTCCAGGGATGGGGCCTCAACAACCTCTCTGGGCAACCTGGGCCAGTGCCTTACCACCCTTAACGTGCAAGATTTCTTCCCAATGTTTAATCTAAACCTGCCCTCTTCCAGTTTGAAGCCATTCCCCCTCGTCCTATCACCCCATGCCCTAGTAAAAAGTCCCTCCCCAGCTCTCCTGTAGCCCCTTTAGGCACTGGAAGGCCGACATAAGATCTCTCCGGAGCCTTCTCTTCTCCAGGCTGAACAGCCCCAACTCTCTCAGCCTCTCCTCATAGGAGAGGTGCTCCAGCCCTCAGATCATCCTCATGGCCTCCTCTGGACCTGCTCCAACAGGTCCATGTTCTTCTTGAGATTGGGGGCTCCAGAACTGGATGCAGTACTCCAGGTGGCATCTCACAAGAGTGGAGTAGAGGGGCAGAATCACCTCCCTAATCACCTTCCCACACGAAGAAGTCTGATGCAGTCTTGGCAGCAGATGTATTATGGGAAACAAACTCTGTGAAACTGGAGGCAAAACAACCCACAGTTATATGCTTGTAACCGTCTGTGTTGGTTTTTGGTTTTGTTTTGTTTTTTTTTTTTTATTTTTAAGCACAGAGAAGAGGTTGTTGGAGTCACCTGTGCCTCAGCAGGTGATCTTCCCAGCCAGCTGGGACAACACGCATTTAAAACCCCAAGTCATGTTGGCAGGCTTTGAGCCGCTGCGACCAGCCAGGGGAGCCCTGAGAAGTTCTCCTTCACAGCCAAAAAAAACCTCTGGGTGCTGCCGGGGGAGGTCAGCTTGCGCGCACTGGGTGTCAGCAGGCGGAGGAGCTGGTGGCGTGGGTGGGGAGCTTGCTTGCTACTCACCAACCTGGCAAGAGGCAAACAAAAGTCCTCAGGAAATCCCGGCGGTTTCTGCAGCTCCGGCGATTGCACGGAGCCACTCAACAACTTTTGGTGACCCACCAGGACTGGCAGAGGCGAACGCGGTCAAGCTGGAGAGCCTGGGAGTAGGAGGAAAGTTGAACTCTGCAATCTCTCTCCCAAGACGCCTGACGAAGGCAGCCGAGGCACTGCCAGAGACGGGTGAGTCATAGCAACCTCCGAAAGGGAAAAGGTGAGCTGAAGGGAGGACAGCGTGTTTATGCCTTCGGATCGGAGGCGTGTTGGGATTAGTCTCTGCTCCAGTGCTCTGTTAAAGGAGCTCCTTTTATTGGCGCCCTTGGGAAGTCCTCTGTAGTCAAGACCGTCTCCAGCATGACCTTGCTGACTTTATTACTTGCCCATATCAACACAGCGCTATCTCCATCCCCAAAGTTGAGAGAATAATTACGCACTATATTTTTAAAAGCAGGTCCCATCTCCGAATCCATTAGATATCTCTGTCAGTGTTCTACATCCTAAAAATTGTAGACTACGTATAAAATAATTATTTCACTAGTAGTGTGCAGCCGGTGTAATGGATATTATATCTAATACTGCAAAAGCTCAGTTTCCTTGTGTGAGGAAAGGCAGAAAACGAGGTAATATCCAGCTTTCCAGAAGGAGAAAGAAATATGTTTCTTGCCCACACGAAGAGTGTTCAGCACAGTTATAGACAAACGGATGATTCGCCAATGTGGAAGTTCAATGTTGTACCCACACTAGGTTTACTAAAAATGTTCCCACATACAGTGGGCATAGAAAATAAAAATAAACGCATCTGTATACTCACTGGGAACAAATAATTGTTTCTTTTCTATGAAGAATACACAAAGAAAAATAAGAGAAATAAACGCTTTTTAAATCTCTGCAGAGATTCACTGTATTTTCCCATCCGTTGCAAGGCGGTGCGCTGGTTCGCCAGCAACAAAAGCACATACGCACTTCTTGAAAAAAAAATCCACAGTTGTCAGACCTGTTGTTTCTCTCCTAACAGGTCAAGTTCCGGGTTTTAATCAACTCTTGAAAGATCATCAACAGGGCTGTTGATCCCAAGCTAGCGATGAGCTTATAGAAAGCTGTAAAGATCGTGCTAGTTTTTAAAAAGTTCTCTTTTTCATGGTTAATTTGCTGCTTTTCCACTGCTGAATTTCTTCTGCACATTCATCGAAGACGGCTGCATTTGCCCAATTGATTTAATTTGAAAACGGTTGTGCTAGTGCACGTTAAATGCTCGCAAACTGTCTGTTTCTGGAGATCGCTTTGTGTCCATGCCATGTCCTTCTGGCTTCCAAGTCTTCCCTAGTTCCTGCTTAGTGTCTTAATGTTTTACTGCCTTTGCGGTCATGATGCGGGTGACAACTGAGGTTGTCCGGAAAGTTCAGAATATCAAACATACATTTCAAAAGTATTTTCGTTAATTGTTCACCCCCTCCCTTCCATTCTCTGTTACGGAAATACAGGATTTTCCTTGGCCTTACGAAACGCTGTTGACGGACACCCGAGTTGCCCACGTGCCCTTTCCTACGCCGCTCACCTGCGGGCGCAGCTCTGCGCTGGCGGTCCGACGGCTGGACCGGGAGCAGGGGGGTCGCACTCTCCTCCACGCTCTGAAGGTCGGTCAACGAAAGCTTCGCGAGACGCGCCTTCTTCGTCTGACTGCCCCAGAAGTCCTGTTAAGATGAATCAAGATATGGTATCAGGCTTACTTAATGTAAAAGTACCAATCAAGCCAACAACTTTCTGCCTCAGATGTCAATAAGGACGTGGGTGTCCGCTCTTGTAACGGATCAAATCAAATGGAAAACCATACACTCGTAGAGCTTTCACTCTTGACTTCTGCCCTTGAAAAGAAGGCCAGAAGCTAACAAGCAGCAATAATAACACATCCAAGAGTTTTTGGAAGGGAGTGAGTGGGTGTGTGTTGGCTTTAGCTTAGCGAGGAGGAAATGTCTTCTCTAAACTGTCACCTACAGAAGGCCTAGTTGGCTGCCAAAGGCTGCTGCCTGTGAGTATTTCACTGTCACCATACGGATCAAAGTCGTATCAATTGGACTGTTCCCCCACATGATGTATGTGTAACGCCTTCCTTCAAAAATAAAGACTTTCCTCGGCTTTGTTTCAAAATATTTTGGTTGAGAATCAAGACCTGAAGTTTTCAAGTAGGTGAAGGAGGGGCCTCCAATTCCCAAGTTCCAGTCTGAGCCCTTTGGGGAAGGTAATTGTTTGAAAATACGCTGAAAAATACAGAGGAGGAATTGCATATTCTAGGTGTGAGACTTAGAATAAATAAATAAAAAAATTAATCTAACCCCAGGCTAGTAGAGTTTGGATTAAGGAAAAAAAAAAATATCCTGTTACAGATAAAGACTTTAAAAGATTTTTCTCAAAATCGTAAGACCCTTTTGCGTTTCTTCTTTTTTAATCCTGTTTTTCTCCCCTTGTTCTCTGCCTTCCCGCACCCTGTAGAAGCTAATCTGCACGATACCCATGGCAACACCATGGGCAGTGTGAGCAACATAATGCTCTTGCGAGCGTACTGCTAGTTTACATTTTGGCCGGAGACCCAGAATGCTTCGGAGGGCAAATCTACTTGTAAGCGTTGCCGAATCTCCAAGTCCTAAAAAGCTAATGCCATTAAGATTGCTGCGGACTATTTCTACTCTTCATGCTACCTAAATATTATTAGCATCTGCGGTACGAGAGAGGGCAAAGTGTGGCAACCGATTTGGCTTTCTCAGGCAACTGATATTCTCCGCCTGCGCTGCCGTTCCCCACCTGCGGAGAATCGCGGAAAACAACCAACTCAGTCAGGGGCAACACACCTCCAAGCACGCACACTGTGTCGCAATAAATAAAGGAGATAAACCAACCCTGGTGTACCTTCTCCTCTACCTCGAGTAAAAAAAAATCCAAAGGGAAAAAACGGAGGGGAGAAAATGGGTGTATGAGCAATGCTCTATGTCTGGAAAACTCAAATCAAGGACAAGTAAAGTAGGTTTCTCTGGAGTTCTCTCCTTGGAGCCTGTTGCAGAGCAAGCAGCCAAGAGAAGGAGGGGAGCAATATGGAGAACTCACAAAGGCGCACAAGAAATGATATGCTTGAAGAACTCTGGGAAAGGGCTTAAACAAAATCCCTGGTGTTGTACGTGTAGGCAAAATCCACCGCAGCTCTCGCGGGGGAAACTTTGATAGCATCTGCATGGGGACGCGGCTCTCACTACCATGTTTCCGCCTGGGAACTGAGTCTTCGGTCCTGAAGGGCCTCCTTCTTCACTTGGACTTAGGTTTTAAGGAGGAAAATGTTAAACCTGTTAGTTTTCTAAATGCCAAAGCTAAGACGTACGGTGTGAGTCAAGCTGGTGTAATTAATCTTTTTTTCTTTTTTCACCTTCTCAGTAATGTCTAAGGCCTACACAACTCATCCCCATAAAGTTACAGACTTTCACCAATACGCAATCTCCATGGCTTCTCCTCGGACATCGCTCCTGAGGCTGACCCAGCTCCAAGGAGCGGTGGCATTGCGGAACGTCAAATGCCGAGACAGGAGCGTGTATTGAGGAAGGAAATGAAATAAGATTGGGTCGGCTTTGTCTTGATCTCTTTCCATCACACTATTAATTTGCATTTTCTCGTACCCGCTGAGAACCAGATCTGAATAAATCGCAGCCCCCTCGCGTCGATCGCTTCAGCGTAACCCACGCCCGTGCTCTGCGCGGGACCTGGCAGGTTTGTAAGGTGGAGAGGGCTAACAATTTGGATGTATCCAGTCCTCATGTGGCATATTTCTAATATATGAACGCTATGAGCTGTTATAACCATGGCCACTGACTGTGGATGCAGCGCAGTTACACCTTGCTAAATGATGCTACAGGATCCATAGGAACCTCCTGGAAAACAGAGCAGTGTGTCATATGCAAGCACATTTGTAGGCAAAACTGGGGGATAAGGAGGGTTCTTACCCACGGGAGCACAAAGAGATTTCTTTGCACTTTCATATCTAAATTAAATATCTAAAACTGACCTCAAGTTACGAGGACTGAGCCTATTCTAGTCTGGGTATACAGCTGCAGTATTGCAGTAGAACGTTAGATAGGATCAGATGCCAGGAGCGGTTCAAAGCCACAAAACCATCTGATAGGAGCTCCAGAGTAAAGAAATAAACATTTTTGTTGTGGGACATTGGACCGTATTCCCTGTGAGAAGCGTTACAGCAGGAAAAAAAACCAAATGCGCAAGGAACACTGTTTAAACAACACAGCCCTTCCCAAACCAGAGGCACCGTATCCCACATTTAATTAAAAAGGGGAGGATTTTAGCAACAATGCCACAGAGCTGGGAGAGGGCGGTGGTCCTCACGTCTAGATGAGGGCTCAGGCTGGGGTTCGGTGCTTGGTAACGACTCGGCTTCGTGCTAGCGTTGGAGGTATCACGAAGTGCACCGAAGATTTTGTGTTTAGGTAATCTGGGATCTTCCTTCAGCTCATTGCACAATAAACTCTCGCGGTTTTTAATTGTAACCTAGTATTTGCTTACCGTGTTAGGATCTGGGGATTTGAATCTGAATTTGAATTTTAAAAACCTGAGCGTTGGTATTGTGTCTAACATTGTTGTTTCATCACTGAAGTCATTTATCAGATGTGATCATTTGAATTATATTGCGCTAAAAACCTTTATCTGCAAAATCCCATTTGTCATGATCAGTATTAGGATAACGTTGTACACCCACCCATCCCACCCCCCGCACCCTCCACAAAAGGTACATTCTGCATTTCCAAAATTCGCTGATAGCTGCTATTCCTACATCGAGCGTCCGTCTAAAGCCGCCAAATAGCTTTACAAGTCCGCTAAAAAGTTTTGCTACGCTTTAATGAGCGGGACGCTCTCTGAACACCGCGCGCAGGTGATGAGATCTCACGCCTTCTTCCCTGCTTGGAGACGTGTCGGGATTTAACCGTATCTGTCCTCTTTTGGATTTGTGTCTGCAAATCGGAAGCTGTTTCCATTCTCCAGTGTCATCCACTGGACTTTCAGGGATAAAAATGCTTTTTAAAACAGGCGATCCCACGGTCAAACGAAAATCTCCTTTTAATATTGTTCGCAAAATTGACAGCTCTACTTAACAGAAGCCATTAAATTATTTACAAAGCAGCAGTCGCTCTTGTAAAAATATAGCCTCTTTTTTTTTTTTTGGCATGAAAAATAAACTAGTTGATAAGCGAGAGATAAGCCATTTGACTTCTTCTTTGTGTGCCCGGCGTGGTATGCAGAGCCAATTCTGTACAATCTGATGTTTACAGAGCAATCGTAACGTACGACCTCCTTAGGCAACCGGGACACAAGAAGCCTTTAAAACGCTGAAGCAAGCATTTAATCAGAACTCTTCATGCTGATCTTTGAAAAATTCAATAAGTTCAAAAAATGTAACTCCTTCTAAAGATAAAATATCAGCTTTTTGCTTCAGGAGTTGCAAATATATCCCAATGAACTCCCAGTGAACCATACAGACTTCAGACACGCCGTGGTTTTTTTTTTTTTTAAAAAAAAGAAGTAAATAGTAGAGTTTTTCTGAGAGAAACAAATCAAGGGTCGGAAGAAATGCAAATGGTTAAGCAAAGCAAGTGCTGCAAAACAGTAGAGTTTAGTAATAACCCAAACAATCACACTTTTTTTTAGGCACTTGAACAAATTCTTCTGTTTTACCTGAATAGCTAGTTCCATGTGAATAACTTCATATCTCCTTGTATTATCCATTAACTTTTTTTTTTTTTTAATTATCATTTATTTTGGCCTGTTGAAATCAAGCTCCCATGCTTTTGTGAGGTGACTTTGGGCTTTTTTTTAAACCGCTGCAGGAGGTGTGACATTGAGGACGATCTCACGCGTTCTCAAGTTCCTCCACCTTAACTCCATCCGAGGTCTTCTCCAACTACACGAAGGTATTTCTAAAGCCACGGGGTAAAATTAGGTATCAAAATTAGTGGGAACTTCCATTGCTGACTTGAGTCTACAATTGAGATCACAATTGTTTTCCTGAACCTGTCTTTCTAAATGAACAGATTCTAATAAAATTGTTTAGTTTCAACAAATTCCTGCAGGGGAACCACACAGCTTTGTTTAGGTGTGTGGAAAAACGTAACTCTACACTTTGCTTCTTTTGGTCTAATTCTTCCATGGCTTTTTATTTTTAGATTATTTTTGTGTCGTTTTGCTGATTCCCAGTGTTGACGTGTTTTCATTTGACAAACATATATTCTCAAAATATTGGCTTTAGAGTACTTTTAAAACTCACTGAGAACAGCTGTTATTGCCGAGAGAGCTGGAAAAGGTACATTAAAACCGAATATCTCCCATTTGTGTTGTAATTTAACAATTTGATACCTGAGAAGATAAGGCACTTCAATCACTACTAAGTAGAGGCAACCCTTAATGGCAGCGTAACATGTCATTATTTCACTCGTTGGATATTAGGCATATTAGTAGCAGCAAAACGGTTTCAGCGGGTGTGCCAGGAAACATAAGAATTAAAAATAAAATTTATGTGATAAAATTAATAGTTAACATATATAAACAACTCCTTTTTTTTTTTTCTTTCTTTTTGGAGTGTAGACAGTTATATTTCACTTCTGTCGCTTGCAGCGTAACCCGGCTTTAAAACTTTCTGCAAATGGAA